GTGTGCAGAGGCCCTGGGGGACGCTCTGAAAGCTCTCCCGAACATCGAGGACGCCAGTTGCCAGTCTCCGCCGGGGTTTGTAAAGGTCGCCGGGGAGCTCTGCTTGGGAGCGGCATGCTATTCGGGTTTGACTGATCAAACGTGAAGGGTAGCTCAAAAACCCTTAAGCAAGGACAATTCCTTAAATAGCTGTAGGATTCTCTCCAAACCCTATAAAGCCCTGAACCCTAAACACCGCGAGTTGAAGGAATCTTCCCCCCCGAAGTTTGAAAGGGATCTTGGAGCCTGTCGAAGCTGTGGGTTCATGGGCTGCCTAGCTGCGCTTCCTCATCGGTTGAGGGCTTGGGGATGTTTAGGGTTTAGGCCTTATAATGTCCAATAAGGAGCTTCCAGTTCACTTCCCTGAAGCTCGCTTGGTTTTGAGTCGCGTGGGATGTCGCGAAGGGCAGGCCGTCAGTCCCCGTTTGTCAGGGCGTGTCGAATTGATCCTGAGCCCCAGATTTGCCAAGCTTGACTGCACCAAATTGTCGCGATGCCACATCAATCCGTGGATCCAAGTATCCGAGTGTCCGATGTCGAGTGCCTAGCTTGCTTGAGTTTGAAGTTTGATCTGACAAGCTCGTGCATTTACCGACGGATGCACGCGTTGCATAGCATGGGGTCTCGCAAGGATGGCGGCATACCTCGTGCAAAGGCATCACGTCTGTTGACTTCATGAAAACAACACAAGGCGGTGCAGTTCTAGAGATATCTGCCCGAAGTCTCGATCTGAATCTGAACCGCACCAAAGCTGAAGCCTTTTCAGGGCAGCAGCAAGCCTCAAAAATCGCCGTGCGGCCGCATCTTCTCTCAACTCGAATGCCACAAGTTCGCATTCCTACGAGCCCCTCCCGGCGAAGGAGCTGATGCTGGGCGAGAATGCCATCGGAGACTTTGGAGCCCAGGCTGGAAGACTTCTTAAGGGAGCGCGTTCTGTGAAGCCCTGCGGGCTGTAGAGGCAGACATCAGCTTTCTGCATAGCCAGTACTGAAGTTAAGTAGCACTGATAGACCTCGGATCTTCCAATAGAATCTAGCGGCGGGACTGGGTCTTACTTTGATGTTGTGCTTCTGTCTGAGCCGAGGCAAGACCAAGAGTGTTTGAGCACCTACACTGTCAAGCCTACGCCAGTCCTAACGAAACTCATGGTGCGCTCCAGCACGAAACCGATGCCGAGCACCTTCCAGCCAGACATCTCAGTTCTGGCAATTTCCAAATGGGGTTAGAGGCTTCAAGAGTTGGCAGGCCCCAGGGTCCGAGAGTCGGGGGGAGGAGGGCTGTGCATTCTGTTGGCAAAAGCAGCGCAGGAGGTGGTTGGGAAGCGTCTGTGCCCTGTAGACAGATCTTAACGACAAGACACCACTTCACTCCCTTTTCAAAGACCCAAGGGCAACTTATGAAAACGCTGCTGGCCTCCAAAACGTATCTAAATCGTATCCTTCGTCAGGGATGGTGGAGGCAGGTTGCTCCATGGTCCGTGTACTTCCTGTAGTGATGCACTGTTCCGCCCGCCCCCCCATTCATGCTCGTGGTGGTGCGTTGTCATTCTGTTTTCGTCTTTTGACGACTTTTGGTTTCTGAGCCCGGCAGCCGGGCCCAGGAAAATTACCAAGCCCAGGGCCCCCGAACTCCGACACGCTCAAGCGCCAACCACGGCACCGGCCAGTACGAAGCAGCAAAACGCACAGGACAAGCCTGTCATGCTGATCCTCCGTCTCAGTTGCGGCTTCTCACTGGGGCAAAAGGTTTCAGGAAGAGGTCTATATAGTAGGCTCATCACCCAGAAAGAACGGCGTACAAGTTTGTTCTACAAACTTCGGAGGCCTTGTCAAACTCTCAACAGTTGCTGAATTTAAAGGGACCCGTGAGTCAGTGCCAGCACGTGAGGAATTCTAGTTTGGCAGATGGAGCCATGCACACTGCAAATGAGAAATGCCGCAAGCCGAACTTTCGACATTCAGGCAAGTCACCTCATACTAAGAGCGCCTGAAACATGCAAAGGGCTGGCTGCCTGTTCCGTCTTAAGTGTATTATTTTCCGGAGAGACTCGGACAGTGAAGAGTCAAAGTCTTCCAAGGGGCGTTCGGCATTTGGCGCAAGTTTTCTGGCAGCTTGGGCCTCACTCTCCCCAACTTCTCTCAGCCGCGCCGAAGGATCTGCAGTGTTTTTCTCTTCTGGCGACTTCTGGTTTCTGGGCCCGGCAGCCGGGCCAGGATAAACCAAGCCCAGGGCCCCCGAACTCCGACGTGCTCAAGCACCAATCACGGCGCCAATCATGACGAAGCAGCAAAACACACAGGACAAACCTGTCATTCAGTTGTGACGGCTTGTCAATGGGGCTCGGGGGATCAGGAAGACGTTCTTTAGGCTCATCGGCACAGCCAAAGCAAGTTCAGGGAACCTGCATGAAAGCCCTCGCCCCCGGCATCAGCGATCGATTTTCCTTCAGTCCACACAGTCCACAAAAACTTTCCTTATCGTAAATGCACCTGGTCTTAAGACTGGGGGGTGCGGGGCAGGCTCTCGCTGCTGGCCTGGGCGGACACGCGGCCTTGCAGAGGCTGATGCTCTACGAAATCCGCATTGGCGACGGTGGCATCAAGGCTTGGAACGGGGCATCCTGTGCACGGATGGTTTGCTGGAAGGTTGGGGCTGCCAGTCAGTTCACTTGGATTGTAAGGTTTTTCTGTGGAAAGAGGGCAAGTCCATGCAGCGCATGTTGCTTGCGGCATGGGGCACGTGGAGCGAGGCCCTGGCCAGCGCGCTGCGGCCACATGCGAAGCTCAGCGACTTGAGGGTGTTCAGCAACTCCATCACAGATGCCGGGCTCCAGGCATCGTCTCGAGCTGCAACTTGTAGATGTGATTTGTTCTTCTGCCTCCTGCTTCAGTACCGAAGAAAATTTTCTTCCCGAACATGAGAAGATTGATGTGAACCCCAGCGGCGCACTCCAAGTGGGCCAGGTGAGCATGCTGTCCAAACGTGCATGGAAAACAGAAAGTAGCAACTGGGGAGGCCCTTGCAAGACACCATTTTTTCGGCATCGAGTTTGGGCCCTCTAAATCAACAGATCATTCAGTCCGAACCTCCAAAGAGTTCCCATCGAAGTCGATTTTATTGCAAGCTAGCAAACAGTATGCTGCGGCAGCTGCATGGGATTGGGACGCGCAGCTCAGAGAGCGACGAATCTAAACATTCTAAATTCTAAATCTATAGGTTTTGGGAAGTGGGCTTGCGTCGTATGCCAGGCCCTGGCCGAAGTCCTCCAGCACCTCACGCAGATGCAGGCGGTGCTTGCCAGGATGAATTGCAGCCCTGCACAAAGCCTCATGATGGATAGAGTGGAATGTGCTTGTCATGCCCTGTGCAGGTGCACACAGTTCGCATTGTGTATTCCAGTGAGCAGGTAGTGACTAAGTAGTGTATGAGATTGATACTGGTATTGTTTTGGGAACTGCACAGTATCTCGGCTTGCGCGACAACAGCTTCGGCGATGATGGCACGAAGGCCGACGTTGGCATTGCTTAGGAACCCCACAACCTTTGCGGTTTTTCATCCTTTCACTTTTGCGCCTGGAAAGAAAGTCCAGGAGTGAAACGCACAAGGAAGCTTTCTGTGATTAAGTTTGCGCAGGTGAGGACGGTGAGGGGATTCTGAAGAAGTATGTGTGGGAAGGCGGAGCATTGTTCTTTGGAGTTCTCAAAGGCATGTTGCAGCAAGCCCGCCTGTTGCAGTATTCTCGGGAATCGGTGCACAGCTCCACGCTGAGAATCTTTGTTAAGATGGTGAGGTTCGCCTTGGCCTATTCGGGTTCACTGTTGGTGACAGCGCAATCAGTGAGACATGAATCGTATTGGTGAAAGGGTATAGCCAGCCCATATCAGGTTGTTCAATGCCTGGGGCAGGACTTGTGTGCAAATGTCTAGCTCTGTTCGGCGGGATACCAGGCGGACTAGGCTGCTCGCATGACTCGTTAGCGCAGACCCGCTGCCAAATGAAGTGCTGCGAGAACAAGAGGGTGTAGCTCGTAGACGGTGCCCGGCCAGCAGTTTGGCTCCACAGCCCTGGCCGAGAAACGTAAAGAAGCGACGTGCCTCGGACTCACCAGAGTGTTGCCGAGCTCCCTTGTCATTGCACAATTTGCACAGGCCTTGGCTGGTGTCCTGCCGCGACTGCTGAAATTGGCCACGCTGACCCTGAGTCAGAACCGCGTCAGCGATGCGGGAGCCGAGGTGCGGGGTTTGCATGGCTTTGTCCCTTTTTGCTGTCCGGCTTGCGTTTTTTTCTCAACGTTTGGGACAGTTTGGGGCTGTTGAACTTGGAGGTCTGGGAGGTTTTGAAGGCCACGCAGCGAATCTAAAGCAGCAGAAGTTGCGATGGCCTCGCTCGCTCGCTCGCTCTCTCTCTCTCTCTCTCTCTCTCGCTCTCGCTCTCGCTCTCGCTCTCGCTCTCGCTGTCTTTCTCTGTCACGCCTCAGCAACAAGCCGCGCCGCAGGCACTGGTCCACGGCCTCCGCGACAACAGGGAGCTCAAAATGCTCTGGCTCCACGAGAATTCCCTCAGCGACGCCGGCGTGGAGGTCAGGAAAGCCGGGTTTGGGAGTGTTCCAACTCCTTCAGCTTGATGTTTTCTGTGGAAGCTTTGCATCTTTTTTGGGCTTGTTCTATATAAGTCATGGTTTCTTTTTTGGGCTCTTATATCGCAGGCTGCTTTGAGGGTATTCAAATGGGACCTCTCATCTACAGCAACCTCCGGTCGCAGCGCCAATTCTGAGATCCTTCACTGGCAATGTTCAGGCACAGGTTGCTGGCCCCGATGCATGTCAGGACGTTGCGAACACGGTCGGGTTCGCTCATATGGCTGGGTAGGTATTTTTGCTGCTGCTATACGGAACACACAGTGTGGCAAAAAGAAAATCCATTCCCTCCTTTCTAAGCACCACAGAAATCTCGATGATGCAGGCAGTCGCCGCTGCCTTCCGGGATCGCACCATGGAAGATCTGAAGCTCCGCCCGCAGCGCTAGGAGCGTTGTGGGCTCTCCATCAAGATTGCCAAGATCCTCTGCTGTGGAACAATCTAAGCAAGATCTTTCTGTGTGTAAGAGTATCTTACTTTGAATAATGGGTTGCAAGGGGGCCAACTTATAAGACAAAGCCAAGACACTGCGAATGCCCAGCGCTCGAAAAACTCTGCATCCTTTTGCCCTCCGAAGAGAGGCCAAACGACCATCCTCGGGCCCAGCTCCGGGGAAAGGTCTCCCATAGAGCCAAGTGTTTTGTTTAGGGGCTTTTTGGGCTTGTAAATGTCGGCTTAGGGTGTTTATTTAGGGTTTCTTAGGTTTAGGGTTGTTTCGAGCGACGCCAAGCGCTGTTGTGGTTTTCGAAGAATCCAAGGAGGACCTGAGGAGCTGATGGCCCTGGAAAAGGACCCTTTAGGTTTTAGGGTTTATAGGGTAGGGCTTAGGGCTTAGGGCTTATAGGGCTTAGGGCTTAGGGTTTAGGGTTCAGGGTTTAGGGTTTAAAGAGTTTAGGGTTTAAAGAGTTTAGGGTTTAGGGTTTAGGGTTTTGGGTTTAGGGTTGAAAAGAGTCATGATCGAAGAAGAGGCCTCCCGGCAGAGGCCACGGAGGGCCTGGCAGCACATACACTTTGTGGCACAGAGGTGCCTCTTGGTGGGTTTGGCTTCGGAGCCGGAAGCTGTTGAAGAAAACAAAAGGGGAGACCGCAGCCCCGACAATTCGGGGTGTGGGTGGGACATTTCCTTTTCCCTCGGGGATGCGGTCTCCCGGCTCGCGTCGCATCGACCGTGCAAGAGCTCCGAGCAAACCCGCCCCGCAGAATCTCCCAACCTCTGGGGGATGCTCCTCCATGACTACGCTTAATTAGCTGGCAGCCGGCCTGCAATATGCAACCATGTCTCACCATGTCTCACCCAAGCAGAAGACTTTCAAAGCTAACGTGCCCTGTGCCTGTCAAAAGGCCTTGGCCATGGGAGTGGGATCTTAACTCATACGGGCGGGCGTCCGGCGCTTGGGAGGAATTGCTTCTGGCACTTAGAGACAAGATTGCAGGTAGATGTAACTTTTCCAAGCCTCCAACTTCCATGCTTGTGGATTCCATGGGAGTGGGATCTTAACTCCTGCAGGCGGGCGCTTCTGGCACTTAGACAGGATGGCAGGCAGATGAGATGTAGCTTTTCCAAGAAGCCTCGAACTTCCATGCTTGTGGATCCGTCCGTGATTCCACCAGCCATCAAGGGTCAACTGAAGTAGAGACACTGGACACGACACGGAAGCTCTAGAAGGAACGATGTGAACAGAGGCCAGGAACTGGTAGCTTCAGCACCATCACAGAGTAGCTTCGGGACCACGCCGTGACCTAAGGTTACTTGCAGACCTAGCCCCACCACCTTGGTTTATATTCTGTATAAGCCCACTTCACATACACCGCAAATTAGACGAGCATGCAGAGTGGCCTTTCGAGTGTCGTATGGTGCCAGACACAGCCTCTGCCGCTGGCGCCTCCCGGGTTTGTGAGAATGATCCCAGGAGATGGGTGCCAAAAAGCCTTTCCTTTTAAATTTCCGGGGGCTCAGAAGGGTTGCTTCAGGGGCCCAAGGCTGTGAGCACACAGGCTTTGCAGGGCTTATGGGGTTCATTGTAAAATGTTAGGACAAGCCGTTTGTTAAAACGATCAGAAGAACCCGCAGCAAATGTCACCACAGCAAGACGTACTCTGCTCGTAATTGTAGCCCCAGTCAGACACCTGCCCCGTTCTCCCCGAGGAGATGTTTTGCAGACGACGGGGGAGGCCCTCGGAGGTGCCACCGGGTTAAGTCCGCAAGCCTTGCGGCTGGGCTCCAAAAGGGTTTAAAGGCCTTAGGGGCGAGCCACATAATGAATGCTGACAAGCATGGTTGAGGCAAGATGCATGAGCTTCCGAGGTGCAGCTGGAACCAGAGCGGCAAGGACGTCGAGTTTGCCTTAATGTGCCTCGGCAGGGTCTTGGGGTGAAACGAAGACTCGCAGCATTGCGCGGAACACCACTTGGGGGTCTTCTTTTAATTTTGGAGTCGGCTCCGAGATACCGCTCGAACCAGGCTTCTTTGCAGAAAGTACCCCGAAAAGCAGCCCCTTGCTTCACAAATCACCCCGTGCTGAAACCCCCCCCGCGCTCATGTGATCCCGAAGGGACGAGGGAGCCTTCGTGGGGGCGGGGGGGGGGGGAGGGGGCAGGGGCAGTACAGGGAGTTGTTCGGAGGTACGATGCCAAAATCCTAAACTCCGCCCTTTAAGCCCTACAAGCCGTAAGCCAAAGAAGCAAGCCCAGGTCCGTGGGGTGCCCGGGTGCCCTTTCGCGCTTTCGACTCTTATGATTGCCCAAACGTGGGCCTGCTCTGCCTGGACGTCAAGGACGAGCCGGATGACATCCGCGCCTGGTCGAGGCGCGCAGTAGAAAAGCCTTGGGCGAAACGTGTTTCGTCGAACTCTAGCCTCTAGCAGATTTGAAGAGGAAGGGGGCATGGAGTCAGTGTGGAACGACGGAAAGTGTTGGAACACAGTCAGAGTGAGATGGTAATGAACAATCAAAATGCTAGGTGCAGACAAACTGGAACAAGTGTCGTGATCATCCACACTCCAGGGATCCCCCCCGCCCCCCCCCCCGGCGAAGGTGAAATTCAAGGTTCGTAAGACGAAGTTCGATGGGAAGGTGGGGAGGAAGTGTAGGGAGGGGGTCGACTCCCTGCTGAGGCCTATAAACCCTATAAATCCCTGCACCCGAATCATCATCAACTCCTCCAAGTCCCCTTAAACCCCAAGCTCAAGCCCAAGAAGCGAGCCCAGGTCGGTGGCGCCCTTTTTGTGGGTGCTCGACGCTGATGTGCATGATCTGCCGGGCCGTCAAGGGAGAGCCGGTCAAGGCGCACGGTAGGAAGCCTTGGGCCTTGGGAGAAGCATTTCTTCAATTTCACATATTTAAATTATTTTCAGGTGGAGGAAGGAGCGTGGAATGCCTAGATTTCCATCCGGGAGTTTCCACCAATCTACAAGTCCTTGGGTGCATCGGGGAGCCAAGTTCTGAGGATCCCAGGGCTTTCCTCGAAGCCCCACACCTTCGTTGAAGGGAAGGAAGCTAAGGAACCCTTCGAACCAGGAAAGCCCTCCCAAGCCACTCAACCCCCTCCGAGCCACCTTGAGTTGAGTAAGGGAAGGATGGGGCTCTCTGCTTGGCCAGGATCCGAGCGTCTGAGAAGTAGACCTCAAGTGCAGAACAATTTGATCTAACATTGGTGCTGTTCATGGGACTCGTGTACATGTGTCACCACTAGGACACATGGGCACATTCTGCAACATGAGTGTTTGGTGAAAAGACGCCGACCAGCAACAAGTAGAGCAAGTTTGGGTACCATCAAACAGCTCCCAATGCAGCGGATCCTGCTGCAGGTGGTTTCGACGCTTGCCGAGAACCATCATTGCATCGAGTCGATGATTTCAGACACCCAAGGCCCAAACAAGGCCAGTGGCAGTTGGCGTGAAGCCGCTTGCAGGTGCTGCCAGGAACCTCCGTAGTAGTACATAAGCGTGGCTGGAGGCATTCAGCCTGTTCGCAGCGCGTTCCTAACTGTTTAAATGCATGGCCGGGATGACCTTCCTTGAACAGTTGTGTCAAAGCCACTTGCAGGCGCTTAAAAGTGCACCTGCGCATTCCCGCTGCTGGAGTCTAGCCGATCTGCTCGCTCAAGCTCTATAAGTCCCCCCGAGGACCTAGGCTGGAGCCAACTAGTCTGTTTGCACTGCGTGGCAACTGTTTAATGCACGGCCGGGATGACCCTTGAAGTGGAGTTTTGAGCTGCCGCAGCCACCTCTCACATTTTGCACATGCATCTCTAGACACATCTGGGCCGTACCAGCTTGTCGGATCGTGTGAAGAAGGGCAACGCTTGAGAGGTGTCGCGCCATGGCATCGTCTTGTCAATGTGAAACTGGTCGGACTGCGTGCTGCAGGCAGCATCCGAGCACAAATGCAAAAGAGCGACCGAGCGCTTGCAAAGCCTTCTTGGAAGAAAAAAACCGACCGGCTCGTGACTTAACATATGAGTTGCAGCTCAGGGTCCGATCACTTAGTCCTTGTCCTTTAAACGCTGCTCAACACCTCATTCACCATTGTTGAGACGGAGCTGGGCTTTGGGCTCCCATTGGGGACTGTCTTCATCAAATCTGTGCCTGTCGGGACTACTGTTGCGCCTTGTTCGCCGTGAACACTTTCGATCTCAAGCGCACGGAATAGTTGAGCACGAAAAGGAAGCAGCAGCTTCAATGTCAGAACAAGATGTCTTTACCATTGGTCCGTGAACATGTCCGGCGTGTTCTCACAGCTGCGTGGGTAGGCAGTCAAGTAGAGCAAGAGGGGGAACGTGGAAAGAAGCATTCCTTCTACATCTAAGTCATATACGTGGGCATCCCATCTCTCAGAAGCTGTCGGGTGAGCCAACGCCGATGGGGGCAGCCCGCCGCTTGGAAGAAAACTGGTTGGACACAACTACGCTGCAGTTTCCCAGGGCCACCTTTTTTGTAAGAGAAGGACCCCCCCCCTCCCCCGCCCTTCTTGCATCGAGTGCACCCGCCATCCCGCGTCCTGGTTGGGTGGCCTTCTTTGCCCTTCCCCGTTAGTGGGGCCTCAGATGTGGGATTGCAGGCGGCGCCGGCACCCATGCTGGATGCCTTCTAGACGCCCCCCAATCCCTGCATGAACCCCGGAAATCCCTACATAAACCCTATATGAATCCCGATATACACCCTATATACATCCGTATACTCCCTATATAAACCCTATATAAGCCCTAGAACCCCTGCATCAATCCTTATAATACAAACTGCCCTTAGAATCGCGAAGCTTCGTCCCAGCGAGGCCCGCAGCCATGGTGGCTGTGGAGGAGCCCTGGAGGTGAAACTGGCCACATGTGAGTTCATGGGTTTCCCTACCCCCCTCTATACTACCACCATTTCGGGTTTAGGGTTTAGGGTTTAGGGATACAGCCCCTCCTAGGTTCCGCCCATAATGAAGCTAAGCACGCAAGCCCCCGTTCTTTCAATTAAGCGGAGATTCAAAACACAAAATCGAAAAGTCAAAAAGTCGAAAAGTTTTCGACTTTTTGACTTTTTGACTTTTCGACTTTTCGGGACTTTTCGGGACTTTTCGGGACTTTTCGGGACTTTTCGGGACTTTTCGGGTTTTCGACTTTTCGGACTCCACCCCCAACAAAAAAAACGAAAAGTCGAAAAGTCAAAAAGTCAAAAAGTCGAAAAGTGGAAAAGCCAAAAAAAATTGAAACGCGTAACAGTCGGTAAAGCCCATCGAGAACTTGCGAGTCTGAAAGTCGAAACGTGAACGAGGGGGGGAGGGGGTGGACTGGATGCCTAAAGCGAGCAGAATGCAGCGGCTTGTGGTTGAGCAGGCATGTAGGCTACTGCTAGGTATGCCTAGAGCTCGGAGATGCGGCAATGACCGTGCGATACCGAAACACTTCTTGATAGACTGAGCTGATATTGGGACTGGAATGTTGCGTTTGCGACCCTGTGCACCTCTAAGCCCTGAACCCTAAAAAGCTCCTAGCACCTGCTCTGCAACATGGAGCTGTCAAAGCCCAGCCACGGGTCGTCCCGCAGCCGACGGAGATCCCACATCCAATATTAGAGCACAAAGCCCCAGACCAACACGCTTCTAGGCCCTGTTATTAAAGAAAGCCCGAAACGAATCCTTGACGAATCCTACAAGTAAGGTTACCCAATGTCTGTAGTACTCGTACCATACTTAGTAGAGGGGAGGTGGGGGGGGAAGGAAGGGATTGCAGAGAATCTCCCGGCCCCAGACCCCCCGGCTTGCCCCTGCCCCCGCCCCCTTCTGGCGCCCACGCAACCGGAAGGAGCTGCATCGTGACCGGAGGAAGCCGAACAAGTTCGCAGCAGTCCTCAAGCTTGTGGGGAGCAGGAGCTTGGCCTCCCGGTGCTGCATCCGTAAACCCCATTTTGTAAATATAATTAGGGTTTTTATGGCTTGATAGTAGGTATTTGCATAATAGCATTTTTACGGCTTCATAGGGTTTTTGGTTTGCAGGGTTTTGGGCCTCTCCACGGGATTTGCACCGGCTCATGAGAACGTCGTCCCTTCGCTCACTACTTGACCAGGAACAAGGTTGCGCTCCTCTTCTCCCTCCCCTGCCTCTGACCTTAAGATATTCGACCCACCACCAGATAGATCCAGGGCAATGGAATTGCCCACACCTGCGTGCCCCTCTCCCTTTCCTGGCGCTCTCTCTCTCTCTCCCTCCCCTCCCTCCCTCCCTCTCTCCCTCCCGCTCTCTCTCCCTCCCTCCCTCCCTCCCTCCCTCCCGCTCTCTCTCCCTCCCTCCCGCTCTCTCTCCCTCCCTCCCTCTCTCTCTCTCTCTCTCTGTCTCGCTGCCTCTCACTCGCTCGCTCTATCGGAGGAGTGAGCCTTCATTTGGGTGCCTCTCCGATGCTGGATCCGGATCGCGCGAGGCTCTTGAACCCAGCAAAAAAAAGGAGAGCGGCGGAGCTGCTTGGAGACCGCAGTTGAGAAGTGAGCGAGCTCTCGGCTGCCATGCCTGAAGCCCCACTCCAAAGACCCCAAGACCCCTTTAAACTCCTTTCACCTTTAAACCCTGCAAAACCCCCCAAAAAACCCTAGAAACAACCCCAAATGCCCCCAGAAACCGCTAGAAGCGCTAGCGTCGGCCCCCGCGCAGCGCCTTTTTTTGTTGGCTCTTCCAACCAAACCCGGGCTCGTCCCGCAGCAGCCTTTGGGGCCATGGCACCTCTCCTTCAGGCGATGCAAGAAGGCACCTGAGCCGAAAGGGCCGTGCTGGGCTTCTAGGGTTCTGTACTTGGGAGGTTCATGGGTACTTTATGACCCCCCCCAATTAGAAGTCTTCTTAGAACCTACCTAGAAAGGACTTAGGGGGGCTGATAAGTGCAGCTCTAGTTGGGGTTATAAGTACCCTGAAAGTCCAAGTAGGCTTAGGGGCATTTTGGGTTTATCGAAGGCGAAAGGAGCCCCTGAAGTACAAGAAGGAGTTTAAAGGGTTCAGGGGTTTACAAGTGGGTACTTTGGGATAGATCGAAAGGAGGCCGATATTTGCAAGGAGGGGCTTTAGGGTTTTAGGGCTAAGGTTTGTACAGCTAAAGTGGAGACGCCGGGATAGATTTGTACAAGACCAGGGCAGTACACTGATGGAGCTGGCTTGTAGAGGCATGTAGTGCTTACGACATATGCTGGCACAGGGCGCTCACGCGTGCAGCATGCCAGAAAGGGGGTTTTGCAGTGCGTGGAGTTCTTCTTCTCTAAAATCCCCGGGAAGAGACAGCCAACAAGTGCGTTGATAGCCCCAGGGTTCGCACCTTAGGGACTTCTGGGATTGAAGAGTTGCGTGCTTTTCTTGGGACAAAATCTGCGTGGAATGTGGGTTGATGAGGAGCGCAGCAGCGCAAAATCCTGAAGACTGTATATGCATAGTTCTATCCCAACTGGCATGGCACCCCCAACTCTCCCCCCCAATAAACCCGCAAGAGACAGATTCGATTGAAGGCTGCCCCTGTGGCAAGGCAGCATCAGGAACCCCATGGTTTAGAAGTTCCTGCTCTTTGGGTTTCGGGTTGAGGGCACCTAAGCCCTGAAGATTTCATGTTCCCGTCTTGGGTCCAAGTCGTTGGGCTTGAGTAGGTCGTGTTAATAGAATCAAGGTGTATGCACGTTTCTTTTTTTGGGCTTTAAAGGATCACGTGTATGGAATGTTTTCTTTATTCCAGGGACGTGCTCCCTTTTTGGGGTGCTTGGAAGGGGTCATGTTCAAAAATGAAATTTGTCAGGGGCCGAAAAACCCGACAATCTCCAAAACCTGAACGCTCAACCGTACTCTCAATCGGGAGTCGACAGAGCTCGCCCAGGCTGCTGCTGTTCTGGCATCGGCGCACTCTTCTGGAGATCTAGGCGTCAGTCCGAGGCCAGTGGAGCAGCGTCTCAAGTGGTTTATACGAAGTTCCTACAGGGTTTGTAGGGCTTAGGCTGTTTAGGGACAGTTCAGCAATTGGCGTGCCTCTAGGGCCTCTAAAAAGGGACAACAGAGACGCGCCTCAGCCTTCTCTTGGAGGTTTATGGTAGCGAGTAACCCAAGTACTTTACTTCGTACACCAATGATAACCCTATTCGGGTACTGCTTATAAGTGGGATATAACTAGGCTTATAAAGGGTTTATAAGTATCCTGAACCTCCAAGCTTCTCATGGCTGGCCTACACCATCAGTTCGGTGGGATTCTGGTCGCAAGGACAGACAGGCGATTATTTCTTTTGAAAGTTGCAGCGCGGGCCTGCGGTCGGTCCCCGTGCGCCCTTTAGCATGCACACCCGGTTCGGGCTGTTGAGCTCCATCCAGCCTTCAGCCTCAGACTTCCAGCACCAAGCTTTGGCTGCCTTGCCCTCCGGCTCTGGCTCCCACGCACACTAAGCGATGCGCACCCGGGTTTGCAGATCCTGGGCATGTTTTGGGCCGTTGGTCCCATGTTACAAGCGCTTCTCCAACCTCGGCTGTGTTCGCTGCCTATACCAGCCAAGAAACTCCTCTTGAGAGCCTTGGGGCTCGAATTGTAGTCGCGACCGGCAGTTCTGGTTGACTCATGTTTCTGGACTGAGGGCGCCTCCAAGCGAACAGCCTTTACAAGTGGTCAAGCAGATCGCTTGCGCCCACACAGTGCCGGTGTTCCGGTGCAACTCGCAAAGCCCGATCCGGCCAGAGTTGCAGAGAAGGCCGTGTATACAGCCTGCACGTGGACATTCTGCGCGATGGTGCCCAAACACTGAGTAGTTGTTGAGGCCCCGCATTCTGCTATTGCAAGAAAGCTTTGTGAGTGCTAAATTTGCCTATTGGACTGAGGGTGCCTCCCAAAAGGCCAGACAATGGTTATGCTATACTTGTGTATTACGATGTTGTTCAGCGCCCACACAGTCCCGGTGTTCTGGTGCAGTGCAACACGCCAAGCCGGATCCGGCCTGCAGAGAAGCTGTGTATACACCCTGTACCTTGAATTCTGCGCAGTGGGCCAAACACTGAGTACTTGAAGTCTTTCTGTTGCAAATGTTGACGTTGCAAGCGCCGTGTTTTCTTGCGCGCGCAGACTTGGCAGGCCCTGGGCCAGGCCGCAGCAGGCCGGGGCTTGCTCAGGGCTCCACGGCTCTTCGCATGAGGGATTACTCGCACACATACAAGCCTACCAGTACATAGCTCGTCGGTGTGTCTTGTGGCATTTTAGACGAAGGATCTGGAGGTGCTGTTGCGAAGGAGGACTCACCAGCCGATCAACCTGCAGCTTGGGCTTTGATGATGAGTTGAAAGAGTGAAGCATCACATTTTCTCTGGATCCAATGGCAGATCCCAACAGTAGTTGCTCGATTTCGCCGTGATGTCTGTGACCTCATTCACTTGCTCGAACATTGGAGAGGGAGGGTTTTCTTTTGGAGTGCGTATTTTCGGCTTTGTTGGCATGTGCCACAGACGCCGAGCCGAGGAAGCCGCCGAGCCCTCCGAGCCCGCCAAGGAGGACGAAGGGCGGTTCTGGTGTTGTAGCGGCTGTGGGTGCAATATCGGGGATGTATTCGCAGCAAGTAGGATGCAGAGCGCAGCTTTTCATAGGAGCCGGAGTCCAAAGCCGAGGCCACGCGGCTGCTTTTGAGGGTTCTTCCACTCCGTTTCCCTGATCCCTCCTGTAAACCGACGGATGGGTTCGGGTATGTTCGGGTGCTGCAATGTGTTGTTCTAGATTCTGCTGTTTCTTTATGCGTATAGCTTATGCCAGGTTCGTGTAGTAGTTCGCAGACGCACGCCCGCAAGCTGCTACTGTACGCCATCTACTTGTCTGGGAGAGTCGCTCCGACCAAGTCCCTACAGTCTGCTTCTGCTGGAGATGTGATTGCTTCTAGTAGCAAATCTTCGTGTTCAGGCTTGGCGTGGTCGTGAATGGGTGCCCAAAAACCCAAGTCGCCAGAGATCATAACAAGATCGCTTCATGTCGCATACTCGCTACTTTGAGACTTTGAGTACCCCACGCTTGGCAAGCTGTGCCTGCGCAGGTAGCCATCTACAGCCTGAAGGACGAGAAGGGCCTGCTGGCGTACTGCCGGGATGCCAAGGTGCGGCTCGTCCGCGCCGACTTCCTCCGGGAGCTCCTGGCAGAGGGCCGCACCATGCCCCGGCGCCAGGAAGCCGAGGGGATGCGGACCAAGGACGGCCGCCCGGCCCTGCTGGCCCAGGAGGAGCTGGAGGCGAAGCTGCCAGGCGGCCGCGTGGTGAAAGGGGTCGGCTCCACCCACCACTTTTCCGTCCTGGCCCTGTCGCACTCGTGGGAAAGCCGCGAGATCCCAGACTTGGCCAGGTTTCAGCAGGGAGCCCCAGCTCAGCAGCGCAGGGTCTCCCGCGCAATCTGTTGACCGTGTGCCGTATGCCTCCTTTTGGGATGACATTACAGTAAGTCCTGTATAGAGACGTGCTCCTCTTTTGCCACTTCCGCCGCAGTTCCTGAGGCTGGGAGTGCTGGTAGAAGCATTGGACACCTTCGCGGAGATCCTGGAGAAGATCGCCCCGGCCCAGAAAGTCGCAGAGGACTGGGAGGCGCCATAGGGCACTGCCTCGCAAACACTGATTTTGTTTTCAAGGTATAATTAGGGCACATTGCATGTCGACCTTGCGAAAGTTCCAGGTACTTTTTTTTCTCGCATGTGCAGCCCTGAAGCTTCTCAAGCTTCTCTTGAAACGGCCAGCTGAGAGCAGCTTGCTGCCTGCACGCCCTAGAAGCCTATAAGATCGTGTAAGATCAACAAAATGCATGTGAGTATAGAGTGCAGAGCGTGGTATGGGGGCACGTGTCAATCAGGCGGCGATCTTCGTCGATTACATCTGCTTATATCAGTTCCCAAGAACTGAAGAGCAGGATGGACTGAAACTGGCTGAGCTCTTTTCTGTGTGGCATCCTTCTGGGGATCGGGGAGACATGAGGAGGGCCTGCGATGCCTATAGATGCGCTTCCGTCAGGACGTCTACTTCGCGAAGGGCATGGCCAACATGCACCTGTTGTACGCCCATGACACGACCTGGTCGCTAAGGATCGAGGACCTGACGCCGGGCCTCCACGACCGGCCCGGGCCCCAGCTGCCTGGGACCGCTACGGTCTTCTACCTCCCCGAGAACGCCGTGACGGATGTGGCGCTGGCCGAACTGCGCGACACGGACGAGACAGGCAGCTGCGGCCCGGGATGCCACTTCGGCTGCCGCCCGCCCTGCCCGCAGCTGCACCGGAACAGCACGCCGTACCTGCAGCGCGGCTGGTGCAGGGCGGAGGTGCAGTGGTCCCTGACCCGGGCATCCCCCTGGAGGAGCATCAGGATCCCCTTCCGCGAAGGCCGGAACTCAGAGGCGCCCATGGCGCCCTCGGAGTTCCGCGCCGAAGCGGAGAGGGGGACCCTGAAGTTCACCCACCGGTCGGACCTGGAACTGGTGCTGCAGCTCCAGGCCAAGGTCTTCCGGGAGAAGGCGGCCGAGGCCGCGCAGCTGGTTCTGGGGGAGCTGCCCGAAGCCCAGCTCCAGGTGCTGGCCCGGGCGCTGCCGCACTATGAGCGCCTGGAGGTGGTGACCGTGAACAACAGCGAGCTGGCTGGCGAGGGCTTCCAGGCAGGAGAGCGCGCGCCCCTGCAGAGCATGCCCCGAGCCTCCCTCATTTTCTGTAAGCACGAAACAGCCCTTTTCAGGCCCCTTGTTTTTGTTGGTCTGTTCGCGCCAGGCCCTGGTGCGGGCGCTGCCCTGGAGCCGCCTGCGGCAGCTGAAGCTGACGCACTCCGGCTTCGGAGACGCAGAGGCGAAGGTGGGGGCGCACCCGCTCTGCCTGCTCTGCCTCTCCAGAAGTGTGGCTGCCTCTCAAAAGTGGGGCCGGGTTCTCTGCGGTGTCCTCCCCGATTTCCGTGGCGCTTCTTCTTGAGGGGAGCCGGGTTCCAACACAAGAGGTTCTTGCGGTGTAGTCCACCTCTGGCGGGGTATGACAGATCCACAAGAAAGCAGGAAGCCCAAGCCCTGTCACACCGACTCCGGAAGCTCTGAAGTCCAACATTTCAGACGGCTGGCGCGGGCATTCGGGAGGGCGTGCCTTATAGGGGTGGGGGGAAGGGGGCATAATGGGGCATACGACATTTGGTAGATGATTGCGTGGCTTCCGTTCCCGAATGGCGGCATCGTTCAAGGCAAGAGCCGTCCAAGCCATACCATCACTGAGCGTGCGAGTATCTCGGGAAGCCTCCATTCTTCCGAGAAGCCGGATTCTGGACTCAGGCTGTTTGTAGGGTAATGGGCGTACTGGCTGGTACTCATTGCTAAATTTCGTGGGCTGAGCCTTGAAACGAAGATCGTTTCTTGAATTTTAATCTGAAGATTTGCTGAAGCGTTGGGTTTAAAAAGCGGCGGCTGGACAAACTTCTTGAAGCCCAAATAGGCTCCGCGCCCAGTCCCCACCTCTGTTTTAAGACGGGCCCGGGGGGTGGGGAGGACTGGGTGCTGGGCAAAGGAGACAGTGCGCAGAACGTGTTCAGGATGCTCTTGAGTCGGGGAGAGGAGGGCTGTGTATTCTGTTGGCAAAAGCAGCGCAGGAGGGGGTTGGGAAGCCTGGGCTTAGGTCTGTGCCCTGTAGACAGATCTTAACGACAAGAAATTACTTCACTCCCTTTTCAAAGACCCAAGGGCAACTTGAAAACGCTGCTGGCCTCCAAGACGTTTCTAATTCGTATCCCCTTGTCAGGGATGGTGGAGGCAGGTTGCTCCACGGTCCGTGCCCTTCCTGTAGTGGTGCACTGTTCCGCTCGCGCCCCATATATGCTCGTGGTGTCTGTTGTCATTGTGTTTTTCTCTTTTGGCGACTTTTGGCTTCTGAGCCCGGGGGCCGGGCGAGGATAAGCCACGCCCAGGGCCCCCGAACTCCGACGCGCTCAAGCACCCACCACGGCACCAGCCATGCTCATCCTCCGTCTCAGTGTGGCGGCTTCTCAATGGGGCTAATGGTTTCAGGAGGAGGTCTATATAGGCTCATCTCCCAGAAAGAACGGCGTACAAGTTTGTTCTACAAACTTCGGAGGCCTTGTCAAACTCTCAGATGCTGAGAGTCAGCGCCAGCACGTGAGGAATCCTATTCTGGCAGACGGAGCCATGCACTGCACCGCAAATTCGAGATGCTGCAGTCCAGTCACCTCATGCTAAGAGAGCCTGATTGTTCTGCAAGCGCAGGCCCGCAGACTCGTCCACCTCCGCACAGCAACGTGCAAACAACATCAAACGATCCGCCATTTCACTCACAGGAGATTCTAGAAGCATTATGGTCTCGCCGCGGCACCAGCGATACCCGGGACATGGAACCTTCAATGTCCGAAACGTCTGCCACATGCCGCCACTATGTCTGAAACACGCTGAAGTGGCCCAGAAACCTGCTTTTCAAGAAGGTCACCTTTTCTCCCATTTCATGAAGATGGGCTTCGGTGGCTGGCTGCTGTTCTCGGTGGTGGGGGGAACTCGCCAAAGTGCGTTTGTTTGCGACGTGACTGGAAACACTTGAGATAGCTGCAAGCTGCATTCACATACCTACACCACACTCGGCTTCAGGATATGCTGTTGATTGCAGCACCGGCAACCCCGTAAGAGATCCACAATTAGAACACGAAGGTACCTGCAATACCCTTTCTTGTCCGACAACCCCCTAAGAGGCGAAGCTATCTGCAATACACTTGCTTCGCACCGACAACCCCCTTAAGTCCTTAAGGATCAAAAATATCAGATCTTGCCCATTGAAGTACTTTCACAATTCCAATACTCGTCCTGCGCCAAGCATAACTTGCAATACATATAGTTTCTTACGGCCATGAACTTTCAACCTCCTTTCCTCTGTACGTATATTCTGCGAATAGAAAGATGTCGGTACTCTACGCCCCTTTGTTTGGCCTGCATGCGCGAGCCCGCGGGGGAGGGGGGGTCGGGTGCGGGAGACCCTGCGAGGAGGATATGCCTTGGGTTTCAGCAAGGACTTTCCCACTTTGTGGGAGGGTTCTACAACTACGTGCCGCTAACTCTCTAACGCTAGGAAACAGAACTTGGCCATCCTTTAGAATCCCCGGATAAGGGTACTTGCCCGGCCAGCCCATGATGCCTACACCGTTTCCAAACGAACAAAGAGTCCTATAGTTTTTGGTCGTCTGCGCAGGCCCTTGGAGCTGGTTTGGGTGGCCACTCCTCGCTGCGGCTGCTGTGGCTCTTCGGCAATCGCATCGGCGACAGCGGCCTCCAGGCCTCGGGAGGGGGGGGGGGAAAGTTTTGGAGTCGGTACTGCATAGGCCCTGAAGATGTTCGTCCGGCGACGTGATGGCCAGATTGAGGGCCGAAGGTGCACATCTGCCTGCCCGTGGCCTGTCCCCACGCAGGCCATCGCCGAGGGCCTTGCAGACCACAAGAACCTACGAGACCTAAGCCTGGGCAACAACGGCTTCGGCGATGTGGGGGCGCAGGCCTGGGAGTGATCGAGGTAGGTTTTGTTTTTGTGTTTTTTTTGGTGCAGGTTGGGAGTTGCTGGTTTGCCCTCTGAACTTCAGCAGATATACTTCCGTCTTAAGTGTTTGTTATTTATGCGGGGTCCGCTGGAGAGACTCGCACTGTGAAGCGAGAAAGTCTTCCAAGGGGCGCTCGGCATTTGGCGCAAGTTTTCTGGGCAGCTTGGGCCTCACTCTCCCTAACTTCTCTCGAGCAGAGGCCCTGGGAGCCGCGCTGAAGGCCCTGCCACACATCGAGGACGTGACTATGTTTACAAGGGTTTCAAGTGGGAGTGCTGACAAAATGTGGGAGGGCAGCCGAAGATGTGATGCGCTTTAGCCCAAGAAGCTTCAAGCCGCTACAAGGCTGCGAAGCGTAGCAAGAAGGTCTGGAGCTGATTCTGTAGATTCCGAGTTGCAGAGGCCTCTTGTAGCAGGCTGTTTTCTTTTTTATTGCGAAAGGGTACGGCTTTACAAACTTAACATGAGCCGACATGTGCCGACTTGAGCCCTGCAAAAGACAATAATCATCAACATGTCGAGGCAGCTCGGCCCTGTACGAAACGCGTAGCTGTGAGTGCGATCTTGGCCAAATCGCTCTTGCGTGTGGCTTGAGTGTGCCATTCAGCACTGGAGTGTACGATTTCTCCCCCCCTCCCTCGGCGAGAGGACCTGAGGCTGCAGCAGAACGCCATCGGGGACTCCGGGGCCCAGGCTCGGCCCGCTCGGATCGAAGGAGGGTCTGCTCAAAATTGCAGAGATCGGACTTCTTCTGAGTGCTTCTGTACAATGCAAGGCAGCTTGCTGGCTGTTTCGTCTGTGTCCGTTGTACTGGGAAGGCCCTCGGGGGCTCTCAGGGGCAAAGGGCGGTTTCCTGTCCGGTGAAGCCCTGAGGGGCTGTACTAAGTAGAGGTCGACGCCCATTCCCGCATGGACAGTACGGAGTACTGCCCTTGAACCCCGGAATCATGAGGACAGCTCCCTTTTCCAAGGATTGTGGAGGCAGGCTGCTCCAGGGACTTCCCGTAGAGGTGCACTGTTTCGGCCCCCGCCCCATGTCTGCTCGTGGTGTAATGTTGTCACTTTGTCTTTTGGGGTGACTTTTGGTTTCTGAGCCCCGCAGCCGGGCCCAGGCAAAACCAAGCCCAGAACCCCCGAACTCCGACGAGCGCTCATGCACCAGCCAGTACTGAGCAGCAAGACGCACAGGACAAACCGTTCATGCCGATCCTCCGTCACAGTTCTGGCAGCTTGCTCAATGGGGCTAGGGGTATCAGGAAGAGGTCTATAGGCTCATCTCCCAGAAAGAACGGCGTACCAGGTTGTTCTATTGTCCTCGCGAGCCAGCGCCGTGTGCGCCTCTCAAATGATGCCTGAAAGATCCTGAGTGTCAGTTTTGGTGGGGCGGAGGGTCGGGAAAGCCTTGCAACGAACATCGCTCAGGCTCGCAGGAGAAACTGCTGAAGCGAGGGCCTTCACCTTTACCCAGCAGCGTGGAAACGATCCACCATCTAGCCCATGGGAGATTCAACATATATTGTTATATTATGGTAGCGACGCGGCGCCAGCTATACGCGGCGCCAGCTATATCAGGAACATGGAACCTTTAATGTCCGAAATGTCTGCCACATGCCGCGACTATGTCTATAGTGGCCCAGAAACCTGCTATTCAAGAAGCTCACCTCTTCTGCCATTTGATGAAGATGGGAGACGGTGGCTGGCTACCCGTTCTTGGGTGGGGGGGGTGGCTTTTCCAGGGCCTCGCCAAAAAGCTTTCGACGTGACCCCATCTGGAAGCTGCAAGCTGCATTCACACATGTACACCCCTCTCGGCTTCAGGGTATGCTGTTGATTGCAGCACTAGCAACCCTCTAAGAATCGAAAATTAGAACACCAAGATATCTGCAATACGTACCCTTTCTTCTCCGACAACCCCCGACAAGAGGCCAAACTATCTGCAATACCCTTGCTTCTCACCGACAGCCCCCTTTAAGAGTCGAAGATATAAGATCTTGCCCACTGAAGTACTGTCGAAATTGCAATACTCGCCCTGCCAAGCTTTTTTTTAACTTACAATATTTACGGCCATGAACTTCCAAACCTCCTTTCCTCTGGATGTTTTTTTTTGCAAGTAGAAGCTGTCGGTACCGGTACCCCCCCCCCCCCCCTTTTTGGCCCGCATGCGCGAGCCCGGGGGAACCTGCGAAGAGGATAAGCCTTGGCCCCCAGAAAGGACTTTCCCACTTTGTGGGCGGAGGGGTTCTGCAACTGACCCCTTGAGAAGGGCACTTGCCAGGGCTGATGCCTACACCGTTTCCAAACGAAAACAAAGAGACAGAACTCGGCCATCCGAAAACCTGCTGCGAAAGATACTTGCAAGGAGGGCCTTTCCCTGCCTAGCATCCCATGGTGTTTCCGCATGTTTCCAAAAGACAAAGAGTCCTATAGATTCGGTCGCCTGCGGGAGGCCCTTGGAGCTGGTCTGGGCGGCCACTCCTCGCTGCGAGTGCTGTGGCTGCTCGGCAATCGCATCGGCGACAGCGGCCTCCAGGCCTCGGGAGGGGGGGGGGGGGAAGTTTTGGAGTCGGTACTGCATAGGCCCTGAAGATGTTTCAGACGTCCGGCGACGTGATGGCCAGATTGAGGGCCGAAGGTGCGCTTCTGCAAGGTGGCCTGTCCCCACGCAGGCCATCGCCGAGGGCCTCGCAAGCCACAAGAACTTACGAGACCTAAGCCTGAGCAACAATGCCTTCGGCGAAGTGGGGACGCAGGCCTGGAGTTGATCATGTTGGGATTTGTTCGGTGCAGGTGCACTGCCTGTTCCGTCTTAAGTGCGTACAAAAAGCATGTCCTGCGGAGTTATCCTGAGAGCCTCGGACTGTGACGAGTCAAAGTCCGGGACATGGCCCTCCCAACTTCCAAGACCCGCTCTCCCCAAACTTCCTCGTGTGCAGAGGCCCTGGGAGAAGCACTGAAAGCTCTCCCGAACATCGAGGACCGCCAGTTGCCAGTCTCCGCCGGGGTTTGTAAAGGTCGCCGGGGAGCTCTGCTTGGGAGCGGCATGCTATTCGGGTTTGACTGATCAAACGTGAAGGGTAGCTCAAAAACCCTTAAGCAAGGAAAATTCCTTAAATAGCTGTAGGATTCCCTCCAAACCCTATAAAGCCCTGAACCCTAAACACCGCGAGTTGAAGGAATCTTCGCCCCCGAAGATTGAAAGGGATCTTGGAGCCTGTCGAAGCTGTGGGTTCATGGGCTGCCTAGCCGCGCTTCCTCATCGGTTTAGGGCTTTGGGATGTTTAGGGTTTAGGCCTTATAATGTCCAACAAGGAGCTTCCAGTTGAGGCACTTCCCTGAAGCTCGCTTGGTTTTGAGTCGCGTGGGATGTCGCGAAGGGCAGGCCGTCAGTCCCGTTTGTCAGGGCGTTGCGAATTGATAGATGGAATTAAATTGTCGCATGCGACATTAATCCATGGATCCAAGTATCCGAGTGTCCGATGTCGAGTACCTAGCTTGCTTGAGTTTGAAGTTTGATCTGACAAGCTCGTGCATTTTCTGACGGATGCACGCGTTGCATAGCATGGGGTCTCGCAAGGATGGCGCATACCTCGTGCATAGGCATCACGTCTGTTGACTTCATGAAAACAACACAAGGCGGTGCAGTTCTAGAGATATCTGCCCGAAGTCTCGATCTGAATCTGAACCGCACCAAAGCTGAAGCCTTTTCAGCGCAGCAGCAAGCCTCGAAAATCGCCGTGCGGCCGCATCTTCTCTCAACTCGAATGCCACAAGTTCGCATTCCTACGAGCCCCTCCCGGCGAAGGAGCTGAAGCTGAGCGAGAATGCCATCGGAGACTCTGGAGCCCAGGTTGGGCCGCTGTGCGATGTCACAGAAGACTTCTTAAGGGAGCGCGTTCTGTGAAGCCCTGCGGGCTGTAGAGGCAGACATCAGCTTTCCGCATAGCCAGTACTGAAGTTAAGTGGCACTGATAGACCTCGGGTCTTCCAATAGAATCTAGCCGGCGACCTGGTGTTGTTTGATGTTCTGCTTTTGTCGCTTGGTGATTTCGGTTTTCTGAGCCGAGCGATAGACCAAGCCCATTGCCCGAACTCCTGCACCGTCAAACCCACGCCAGTCCTAACAAAATTCATGGTGCGCTCCAGCACGAAACCGATGCCGAGCACCTTCCTGACATCTCAGTTCTGGCAATTTCCAAATGGGGTTAGAGGCTTCAAGAGTTGGCAGGCCCCAGGGTCCGAGAGTCGGGGAGAGGAGGGCCGTGCTTTCTGTTGGCAAAAGCAACGCAAGGGCAGGAGGGGGAGTGCGTCTGTGGGAGGCAGGGAAGCCTGGGCTTGGGTCCGTGCCCTTCAGACAGATCTTACGTCCTGAGCCTTGCAGTGAAGGACACGTCACCATTTCACTCCCTTTTCAAAGAACCAAGTACAGTAAGGCCACGGTTCGTGTTTGTCGCGGTTTCGGCGGTTCACGTTCACACGGTTCCTTCGCGCGTGCGGTTCCTGGCGGTTCGGTTCCGGTTTGCGGTTCGGTTCGCGGCTTTCCTGCAAGTACAACTTGAAAACGCTGCTGGCCCCCAAGACGTATCTAAATCGTATCCTTTGTCAGGGAGTGTGGAGGCAGGTTGCTCCAGGGTCCGTGCACTTCCTGTAGTGGTGCGCACTGTCCCGCCCGCGCCCCATTTATGCTCGTGGTGTTGCTTTGTCATTCTGTTTTTGTCTTTTGACGACTTTTGGTTTCTGAGCCCGGCAGCCGGGCCCAGGAGAATTACCAAGCCCAGGGGCCCCCGAACTCCGACGCTCAAGCGCCCACCACGGCACCAACCATTATGAAGCAGCAAAACGCACAGGACAAGCCGCCAAGCCTGCCATGCTGATCCTCCGTCTCAGTTGTGGCGGCTTCTCAATGGGGCTAGGGGTCTCAGGAAGAGGTCTATATAGGCCCATCTCCCAGAAAGAACGGCGTACAACTTCGGAGGCCTGGTCAACTCTCAACAGTTGCTGAATTTAAAGTGAGCCGTGCGTCAGTGCCAACACGTGAGGAATTCCATTCTGGCAGATGGAGCCATGCACGCTGTAAGTTCGAAATGCGGCAAGCCTAACTTTCGGCATGCAGGCCAATCACCTCATGCTAAGAGCGCCTGAAACATGCAAAGGGCTGGCTGCCTGTTCCGTCTTAAGTGTATATTATTTTCCGCAGAGACTCGGACTGGGAAGGGGCGTTCGGCATTTGGCGCAAGTTTTCTGGCAGCTCGGGCCTCACTGGGAGCCGCGCCGAAGGATCTGCAGTGTTTTTCTCTTTTGGCGGCTTTTGGTTTCTGGGCCCGGCAGCCGGGCCAGGATAAACCAAGCCCAGGGCCCCCGAACTCCGACGTGCTCAAGCGCCAATCACGGCACCAACCATTACAGCAGCGAGACGCACAGGACAAACCTGTCATGCTGGTCCGTTCGTCTCAGTTGTGGCGGCTGGTCAATGGGGCTCGGGGGATCAGGAAGACGTTCTTTAGGCTCATCGGCACACCAAATTAAGTTCACGGAACCTGCATGAATGCCCTCGCCCCCGGCATCAGCCATCGATTCTCCTTCAGCCCACACAGTGAACCAGTCCAAGACTGGGGGACGCAGAGGGCTCAATGGGGCAGCTTCGGCAGGCTCTCGCTGCTGGCCTGGGCGGACACACGGCCTTGCAGAAGCTGATGCTCTACGAAAACCGAATTGGCGACGGTGGCATCAAGGCTTGGCACGGGGCATCCTGTGCGCGGATGGTTTGCTGGAAGGTTGGGGCTGCCAGTCAGTTCACTTGGATTGTAGGGGTTTTTCTGTGGAAAGAGGGCAAGTCCATGCAGCGCATGTTGCTGGCGGCGTGGGCACGGGGAGCGAGGCCCTGGCCAGCGCGCTGCGGCCACATGCGCAGCTCAGCGACTTGAGGCTGCACAGCAACTCCATCACAGATGCCGGGCTCCAGGCATCGTCTCGAGCTGCAGCTGGTAGACGTGATTTGTTTCCTGCCTCCTGCGTCAGTACCGTAAAAACTTGTTTCCCGAACATCTGAAGATTGATGTGAACCCCAGCGGCGAACTCCAAGTGGGCCAGGTGAGCATGCTGTCCAAACGTGCATGGAAAACAGAAAGTCTTGCACCATTTTTCGGCATCGAGTTTGGGCCCTCTAAATCAACAAATAATTCAGTCTGAACCTCCACGTTCCCATTGAAATCGGTTCAATTCAAAGCAGCATGCTGCGGCAGCTGCATGGGATTGGGACGCGCTGCTGAGAGAGCGACGTGCTGCGAGTTTAGAATATCTAGGTTTTGGGAAGCGGGTTTGCATCGTATGCCAGGCCCTGGCCGAAGTCCTCCAGCACCTCACGCAGATGCAGGCGGTGTTGCCATGATGAATTGCAGCCCTGTAGAAAGACTCGTGATGGAGTGGAATGTGCTTGCCAGGCCCTGTGAAGGTGCACTGTTCGCATTGTGTTCCAGTGAGCAAGCAGCGTATGAGATTGATACTTGTTTTGTTCTGGGAACTGCACAGATTCTCGCCTTGCGCGACAACAGCTTCGGCGATGATGGCGCGCAGGCCGGCGACGTTGGCATCTTTAGGAATCCGACAATCCAACAACCTTTGCGGTTTATCATCCTTTCACTTCTGCGCCGGGGAAGACAGTCCAGGAGTGAAATGCACGAGGAAGCTCTCCGGGACTAAGCTTGCACAGGTGAGGACGGTGAGGGGCTTCTGAGGAAGTATGTGTGGGAAGGCGGAACTTTCTCCTTTGGAGCTCTCAACAGCATGTGCAACAAGGCAGCCTCTTGCGCTGTATTCTCGGTGAGTAAGTTTTCGAATCGGTGCACAGCTCCACGCTGAGAACCTTGCAAGATGGTGAGATTTGCCTTGGCCTTTTTTGGGTTCACTGTTGGTGACAGCGCATCAGTGAGACATGCGTATTGGTGAAAGGGCATAGCATGGTATGCTCCATAGCCCCGCGTTCTGTAGAACCAAAGCAGGCTTGCCAGAGTGTTGCCGGGCTTCGGTGTCCTTTTGCAGGCCTTGGTCGGGGTCCTGCCGCGACTGCTGAAATTGACCACGCTGACCCTGAGTCAGAACCGGGTCAGCGATGTGGGAGCAGAGGCGCGGGTGCACGGCGTTGTGCCTTTTTGCCGTCCGGCTTGGTTTTTTTCTGCAAAGTTTGGGACAGTCTTGGGGCTGTTGAGCTTGGAGGTCTTGGACCTCAAAGAATATTGCATCTTCAGGGCGCTGCGATGAACGGCCGTGCAGCGAATCTGAAGCAGCAGAGGCTTTGCGAAGGCCTCTCTATGTCTCACGCCTCTCAACAAGCCGCGCCGCAGGCCTTGGTCCACGGCCTCCGCGACAATAAGGTGCTCAAGATCCTCTGGCTCCACGAGAATTCCCTCAGCGACGCCGGCGTGGAGGTCAGAAAAGCCGGGCTTGGGAATAGGGCGCGTGAGGCGCCTCTCATCTAGAGCAACCCCCGGTCACAACGCCAATGCTGGTCGGGTTCGCTCATATGGCTGGGTAGGTCCCTTTTGCTGCTGCTAGACGGAACACATGTGGCCAAGAAAACAGATTCGCGCAAGTCCATTCCCCGCCGTACACTAAGCACCACAGAAATCTCGATGATGCAGGCAGTCGCCGCTGCCTTCCGGGATCGCACCATGGAAGATCTGAAGCTCCGGCCGCAGCGCTAGGAGCGTTGTGGGCTCTCCATCAAGTGTGCCAAGATCCTCTGCTGTGGTACAATCTTTGCAAGATCAGTTTCTGTGCGTAAGAGTATCTTACTTAGCATCTGCTTCAGGGCTTCAGGGGGGCCAACTTATAAGAACTGCGAATGCCCACAGCGCTCGCAAAATTCACTCCTTTTGCCCTCCGAAGAGAGAGGCCAAACGACCATCCTCAGGGCCCGGCTTCGGGGAAAGCTCTCCCACAGAACTAGGGTTTTGGTTACGTAGCGGCTTTTTAGGCTTATTACAAAGAGAGCTTAGGATGTTTAGGGTTTATGGATTTAGGGTCTTTTGAGGGCTTAGGGCTTGGAAGGTCTGGTTTGGGGGTTTGAGGTTGACAAGTGAAGCCTTCGAGGGCCGAGCGTTGGACGCCAAACGCTGTTGCGGTTTCCGAAGCATCCAAAGAGGCCCTGGGGAGCTGATGGACCCTGAAAAAGCCCACTAACATTCCGATTCGAATAGCTATCGGCCAGATCGAAGAAGTGGCCCCCGGCAGAGGCCACGGAGGGCCTGGCAGGACAAAAGCCACAAAGTGGCACAGAGGTGCCTCTTGGTGGGTTTGGCTTCGGAGCCGGAAGCTGTTGAGAAAAACCACAAGGGGAGACCGCAGCCCCGACAATTCGGGGTGTGGGTGGGACATTTCCTTTTCCCTCGGGGATGCGGTCTCCCGGCTCGCTTTGCGTGGACCGTGCAAGAGCTCCGAGCAAACCCGCCCCGCAGAATCTCCCAACCTCTGGGGGATGCTCCTCCATGACTACGCTTAATTAGCTGGCAGCCGGCCTGCAATATGCAACCATGTCTCACCATGTCTCACCCAAGCAGAAGACTTTCAAAGCTAACGTGCCCTGTGCCTGTCAAAAGGCCTTGGCCATGGGAGTGGGATCTTAACTCATACGGGCGGGCGTCCGGCGCTTGGGAGGAATTGCTTCTGTCACTTAGAGACAAGATTGCAGGTAGATGTAACTTTTCCAAGCCTCCAACTTCCATGCTTGTGGATTCCATGGGAGTGGGATCTTAACTCCTGCAGGCGGGCGCTTCTGGCACTTAGACAGGATGGCAGGCAGATGAGATGTAGCTTTTCCAAGAAGCCTCGAACTTCCATGCTTGTGGATCCGTCCGTGATTCCACCAGCCATCAAGGGTCAACTGAAGTAGAGACACTGGTCACGACACGGAAGCTCTAGAAGGAACGATGTGAACAGAGGCCAGGAACTGGTAGCTTCAACACCATCACAGAGTAGCTTCGGGACCACGCCGTGACCTAAGGTTACTTGCAGACCTAGCCCCACCACCTTGGTTTATATTCTGTATAAGCCCACTTCGCATACACCGCAAATTAGACGAGCATGCAGAGTGGCCTTTCGAGTGTCGTATGGTGCCAGACACAGCATCTGCCGCTGGCGCCTCCCGGGTTTGTGATGATCCCAGGAGATGGGTGCCAAAAAGCCTTTCCTTTTAAATTTCCGGGGGCAGAAGGGTTGCTTCAGGGGCCCAAGGCTGTGAGCACACAGGCTTTGCAGGGCTTATGGGGTTCATTGCAAAATGTTAGGACGGGCCGTTTGTTAAAACGATCAGAAAACCCGCAGTAAATGTCACCACAGCAAGACGTACTCTGCTCGTAATTGTAGCCCCAGTCAGACACCTGCCCCGTTCTCCCCGAGGAGATGTTTTGCAGACGACGGGGGAGGCCCTCGGAGGTGCCACCGGGTTAAGTCCGCAAGCCTTGCGCCTGGGCTCAATGAAAGGGCTTAAAGGCCTTAGGGGCGAGTCAAATAATGAATGTTGACAATGGTTGAGGCAAGATGCATGAGCTTCCGAGGTGCAGCTGGAACCAGAGCGGCAAGGAAATTGAGTTTGCCTTAATGTGCCTCGGCAGGGTCTTGGGGTGAAACGAAGACGCGCAGCATTGCGCGGAACACCACTTGGGGGTCTTCTTTTAATTTTGGAGTCGACTCCGAGATACCGCTCGAACCAGGCTTCTTTGCAGAAAGTACCCCGAATAAGCAGCCCCTTGCTTCACAAATCACCCCGTGCTGAAACCCCCCCCGCGCGCTCATGTGATCCCGAAGGGACGAGGGAGGTTTCGTGGGGGCAGGGGAGGGGCAGTACAGGGAGTTGTTCGGAGGTACGATGCCAAAATCCTAAACTCCGCCCTTTAAGCCCTACAAGCCGTAAGCCAAAGAAGCAAGCCCAGGTCTGTGGGGTGCCCTTTCGCGCTTTCGACTCTTATGATGGCCCAAACGTGGGCCTGCTCTGCCTGGACGTCAAGGACGAGCCGGATGACATCCGCGCCTGGTCGAGGCGCGCAGTAGACAAGCCTTGGGCGAAACGTGTTTCGTCGAACTCTTGCAGATTTGAAGAGGAAGGGGGCATGGAGTCAGTGTGGAACGACGGAAAGTGTTGGAACACAGTCAGAGCGAGATGGTAATGAACAATCAAAATGCTAGGTGCAGACAAACTGGAACAAGTGTCGTGATCATCCACACTCCAGGGATCCCCCCCGCCCCCCCCGGCGAAGGTGAAATTCAAGGTTCGTAAGACGAAGTCCGATGGGAAGGTGGGGAGGAAGTGTAGGGAGGGGGTCGACTCCCTGCTGAGGCCTAAACCCTAAAAATCCCTGCACCCGAATCATCATCAACTCCTCCAAGTCCCCTTAAACCCCAAGCCCAAGCCCAAGAAGCGAGCCCAGGTCGGTGGCGCGCCCTTTGGGTGCTCGACGCTGATGTGCATGATCTGCCGGGCCGTCAAGGGAGAGCCGGTCAAGGAGCACGGGAGAAGCATTTCTTCAATTTCACATATTTTAATTATTTTCAGGTGGAGGAAGGAGCGTGGAATGTTTCAGATTTCCATCCGGGGTTTTCCACCAATCTACAAGTCCTTGGGTGCATCGGGGAGCCAAGTTCTGAGGATCCCAGCACTTTCCTCGAAGCCCCACACCTTCGTTGACGGGAAGGAAGCTATCCAAGGAACCCTTCGAACCAGGAAAGCCCTCCCAAGCCACTCAACCCCCTCCGAGCCACCTTGAGATGGGGCTCTCTGCTTGGCCAGGATCCGAGCGTCTGAGAAGTAGACCTCAAGTGCAGAACAATTTGATCTAACATTGGTGCTGTTGTTTTCCAGCTTCATGGGACTCGTGTACATGTGTCACCACTAGGACACATGGGCACATTCTGCAACATGAGTATTTGGTGAAAAGACTGGAGGCATTCAGCCTGTTCGCAGCGCGTCTAACTGTTTAAATGCATGGCCGGGATGACCTTCCTTGAACAGTTGGCACAAAGCCACTTGCAGGTGCTTAAAAGTGCACCTGCGCATTCCCGCTGCTGGAGTCTAGCCGATCTGCTCGCTCAAGCTCTATAAGTCCCCCCGAGGACCTAGGCTGGAGCCAACTAGTCTGTTTGCACTGCGTGGCAACTGTTTAATGCACGGCCGGGATGACCCTTGAAGTGGAGTTTTGAGCTTCCGCAGCCACCTCTCACATTTTGCACATGCATCTCTAGACACATCTGGGCCGTACCAGCTTGGCGGATCGTGTGAAGAAGGGCAACGCTTGAGAGGTGTCGCGCCATGGTATCGTCTTGTCAATGTAAAACTGGTCGGACTGCGTGCTGCAGGCAGCATCCGAGCACAAATGCAAAAGAGCGACCGAGCGCTTGCAAAGCCTTCTTGGAGAAAAAAACCCGACCGGCTCGTGACTTAACATATGAGTTGCAGCTCAGGGTCCGATCACTTAGTCCTTGTCCTTTAAACGCTGCTCAACACCTCATTCACCATTGTTGAGACGGAGCTGGGCTTTGGGCTCCCGTTGGGGACTGTCTTCATCAAATCTGTGCCTGTCGGG